GGGGGGGGGGGGGGGGGGGGGGGGGGGGGGGGGGGGGCATCATTCTTACGCCTTGATACAGACCAGCACTTACCTCCCCAGAAGGCTTTACCAGTAACACTTCCAAAATGACAAAACTAAGTCATCATAAAAATGGTTAAATTTTACTTTGTATAAGCTTTTTAAGAAGGCAAGGAATGTCATAATACTGTTCAGAAAGATAGACATCCAAAATAATTAACACACAAACAAGCAAGTTTCAGACACCTGGAAAATTCATTTTTATGAAACACTGTATTCCCTAAGGAGACCTAGCAAATTAGAAGGTTAGTTCTTTTGGTACATGGACTTTATTTTATTCAACTGCATTTCCAGCAAGTAGAATGGTGCCTGGCTCATAACATGTGCTAAAAAATCTATTTCTCAATTGACTGAATAAACAAATGAATACCAAAAAAGTGAGATATTGCATGTGACCCATGAGAGTACAGACATGCAGTATATCTGTGGGAGTATATTGTATTGAACATGCAGAGAAATGATGAAAATATTATTTTTCCAAACACTAATTTACCTTGACAAACAAATTATAAGCAGGGTGTGGTGAAAATACACTCCTCCACCCAAAGTCCAGTGTGCCTCTAGGACAAATTATGACTTTGCAAGCCTGCATTATTGCAATTCAATATCTCTTTAAGACAACTATTGAGCAAAATGATTCATTTAGAATTTGTAGCAATGTGAAAGGTGACCGTGGTTGAATACATTAATCAAATTAAGCCTGTTAATTATCTCTACACACCTTTCTGAAGAAATATTTAATAAACAATCTCTAATTGATTCACACATTTATATAGCATAGGACTGTATGTGTGAAAAAGATTTATAGGTATGAATCTGAAACTACCAAATGTTACTGAAATCTTTATTTTCTACAAACCATTCTCAAATAATACTATCATTCACTGGAAGTTTCCGTAAAGATCACTTAATATGAACAACTGCTCATCCTTCTGACTTAATAAATTAGCATGCCACCAAGCCAAATATAAATTATAAAAATGGAATTCTTCCAAACAAAAAATTTCATTTCATCAGGTTTCTACTTTGCATACGAGAAGTTAACTAAATGTTATGCAAAGACTTAAAACTTAAAGCACATGTGGTTAAAAGCTTAACCAGCTGTTACTTGGTACCACTGGAGATAAGAAAACCACCACCAAGACCACATTTCACCTCACTTTGTAAATTATGACTTATCTGGGTAATCACCCATTGCTCTGGGCCATCCATAAATTGTTCCTGCAGTGGACTGAATTATGTCCCCCCAAGACAAACTGAAACTTGAACTGTGAAGTTTGAATTATGTCCCCCAAGTTTTATGCATTAGAAACTTAGCCTCCACCATAACTGTTAAGAAGGTGGAAGATCTTATTATGGTAATTGAAAGGTGGAGCCTTGAAGAGGTGATTGGATTTTAGGACCATGCAGTAGTGAACTGATTAAAAATGGTGGTCAGGGGCGTGGTTCTCAGGGCTTTAAAAGAAGAGGAGAGTCTGTCTTTCTCTCTCTGCTCTCTCTGCTTCCACCATCTTGCAATGTGAGACCCCTGGATCACTGTCACCACCACCAGATGGACGATGGACTTCTCAGCCTCAGAAACTGTAAGCAATAAATTTCATTTTCTTTATAAATCACCCAGGTTCAGGTATTTCATTATAAGCAACAGGAACAGACTAATACAGTTCCCCTGGCATGACCTCCCCGACACTGTGTTTATGAACATTTACAATGAGGTGATATTTGCATCTCAAAGCACAGACTGTACTGTCTTATAGTTAACACAATACTAAACAGTTTAACTGTGCTTCTCATGACCGCCCAAATGAAAATGCTTAATAAAAAATATTTGTCTTATTTTGTAAATGTTTCCTGTTAAAACACGTAATGGCAATTTACAGAAATAAATTGTTTGACTTTTTAGTCCGAACAAAATTTTTAAAATGTTAAAGCTATAAATCTGGCTTTAGCATTCCAATTAACCAAAAAGACAGGCAACTGTAGCTCGGTACTTATGACTTACAGTGTTTATGCGCAGACTTTGAACAAGGTCAGTGTACACAAGTTGGTGTACCTTTCAATTACTAAGGTGTTCAATACTTTTGGCAGAGTGAATAAGTGGGCAGCTAGTCAAGATTCACCCATTATGCTGGACCAAGAATTCTGTTTACTATTCACATTTATTTTAAACCCATTCCACTTCCTCTATTTGGAGATTATAGAACTCTGAAGTTAGGAGGCACCTCCAGGATAAGACAGTTGACCACCCTGAGATCCTGAGAGAATAAGTGACTTGCCTTTACTGTCCGTAGTCAGCAGAGACTGCGCTACAACTCACATGAAAGGCACTTTTAATGAACCAGGATGTCCTTGCCGGTTTCTCCTTTCTACAGAAACACCTATCTCTTCGGGGTTCTCCCAACCCACTTCATGGGTGAAATTGACTTGCCTGTTCCCCTTCCACTATTTTTCACACAATACCTGAAATTCCCAAAAGTAAGGACACCTCATTGACAAACAATCCCTAAGAAAATATTATCTGGAGACAGCTTCCAAAATCATACTTGCTAAGCTCGAACACCTTCAACAAAGAACTTTTAAAGTAAACAGTGCTGTAAAGGAAATTAAAAGAAATATAGAAAAGATTTCTTAAAATTCCATTTTGATCTTAAAGGGTACCTTCCAGTCCAATACCCCGACAACTCTGTAATTAACAAAATGCTATTAACTGTGAATAAGGACGGAGATTGCAACAACCCATGTAGGGTGACTGGGAATTGTTCCCGGAGGCTACAGGAGGCAAACAAGTATTTACTACACAAGGCGAGAAGTGGTCAGGTGCACTTCCCATCCTCAGGAAGGTGCGCAGTCTCGAACTCTCCCCTGCAGAGGCCAGATGGGCTCTACGAGGGACACAGAGAGGTATTAAGCAGCCGTGGGAGCAGATTCGCTATGAGGGTCACCGCTGGCCAGGCGGAAGCGGGGGGAGGCACCCTTGACCTGCCTTCTCCGCAGCCTCCCGGCCTATGCCTGCCCCAGCCCTCGGCCTCTCCCCGCTGCCGCCCAGTCCCCAAGCCCCCATACCTGTGAGATAGTTGGTCCACTTGTACAGAACCCCCTCCATGCTTCAGAGCCCCACGCCGCGCATCCTCCTGGCCGGGCGCCGGCCGCGGTGCTGGGGTATGCGCTGAGCCTGGGGCAGCCCTCCGGGCCCCCTCCTGGGGCGCTCCGCACCGGCACTAAGCCGCCCTGAGCCCGCGCGCGCCGCCGGGATGTAGCGGCCCTCAGAGGCCGGGACGGCGGGCGCCGTGTGGAGCTCCGGAGCCGCCAGGCGCGGGCTCGGACATCCCCAGGCGAGCCTGGGCGGCGGCAAAAACGCGACTGCGGCCGGCCTCCCGCTGGCGCTTCCGCGGCCCGGCTGCTCCCGCCCGCGCCCCGGCGCTCGCTCCTCCTCGCCTGCCTTCCTTCCCCCCGGGCTCCCCGTTTGTTTTCATTGACCCCGACGTCTCTTTCACTTCCTGGATGAAAGGGGCC